CCCCCCCCCCCCCTTCCCCTCCAGAATCTTCGCTGTGCGATTTTGAGTATCTTTGCCAGGTGTTAGTATTTGGCGAAATAATACCGTCCGCGGTGTTTACTGGACCAAATCAGTTATCTATAGGGGCAGCGTTGGCCCCTTTAGTGAAGTAATGCGGGAAAAACGCCGGTCGTGGGAATCGAACGTGAGGTCCTTGAGAGGGAATACACATCGCTATAGAAATGGGTGAGGTCCTCTTGGTCGTAGTTAGTATATGAGAATGAGATTTTCGTAGAAATGTCGCTACCAGGATTCGAACCAGGTTCCTAATGGTTATCTTCTACCCGGTTGCCGGCCCAGTTGCATGGTGCCTCGATAAGACTCTAGGAGAGGAGCACAAAGGGCGGTATAACAAAGCGGAATTTAAGGCTTTGCTGAATCTACATCAGTATGATGAGGTGAGGAGGAGGTGTCGGGTTCGAACCCCGGTGAGGATATTTTGAAGTGTATTATTTTCTATGCATGTTCTCCAGTTGGTACTGTTCCGCAGATTTTAAATGTATTTTTCGTATCTCAGACCGGCGATGTTGATATAGAAACAGGAGTGAGCGGTCAGTCCACACCGTTGAATACTCACACGACAGCAGGAGGAGATGGTCTAACAGGGAGAGGCGAAGTCCATCATCATGTAATGCCAAAGGGCGTGGGTTCGATCCTAGGCGGCTGAATTTGTAATGGCCGCAACAGCGAGAGTTTCTTCTCCCTTGGTCCCGTGGAGTGAAGTATACGGAGTAAGGAGAAAATATTCTTTATCACTCCTTCTACACGCGTCGAACATGAAGTTCGTATTGTCTTTTTTGGATGTTCGTTTTGAGCGTGTGTCAAACTTGAATATTTAGTTGTCAATCTTGAAAGTAAAATTATAATTTTTGTGTGTTTACTATTCAAATTTGACGATACTGAACGGTTACGCTGGTCATCGAGGAGCTCTGATATTTTTGGGTACAGAAGTGCCTATTTAGTGATCAAAGTGATATAGTGTGACGATCGATGCTGCTCATTCGGAAATGTTGTTTTAGGGGGTTTATAGATGCATGTAGGGTAAACAGTTTGTGAAAATATGCACATGGTGAACTACGTATGATTGGTGGGTATTAATAAAATGCTAGTTGGTGCAAAGTTTTAACTAACATAACATAAATCTGGGTTGCTAATCACACAGCGCTCAAACACCTATTGGTCGTTTGAGGTTTTTGGAAAAAAATATGAAAATTTTGAGGAAATTTTCGGGAAATTCTCGTTGTTTTTTTTTTCTGAACACGCGTACCGTAATTAATGTGTTAACTAGCGTGGTTAATTTCGAGTCTGGCTGGGAAAAGTGATTATATATTTTTATCCAACACTCCTCGTAGAGGATTTCACCACCATCATAAAATTAGTGTTTGTTGATAACGACCTCTTTTGTGTGCAGGTCCAACTACATTCCCGTGGAGGTATTACTAAGGAGGAGCTCCGGATGATGCAAGGCGCATTGGAACTACATCGCCTCAAAGTAAAAGATGTGATGACGCCGTTGGATCAGGTAGTAGTAGTTCGTATGAAACGATGATATGTTTGTTATGTGATATTCCACATTATCCTTTTTTTTGGAGGACTGTACGTACAAGTCGCCGAATATGAGTATAAACTCAATGAGCCCATTGTGGCTTAACTCTACTGGAATCGATCAAGATGGCGCGCGCTTTTTTGAATCTAGGTTGCGATGTATTCGGCTGATCAAGCTCTGGATGCCAAGACATTACAGGACATAGTGGAGAAAGGCCATTCTCGATTGCCGATTTACCAGGGTTATCCACACAATGTAAAAATGCCCGCCGTGGGGATGGAACCGTGGACCTCCCGAATGAGAGAATTGACAGGTGCATGGTATGCTGCTTGTCAAACGGTTGATCACTTTGAATCCGGGAGATGCAGTTCGAATAGGAAACACCGATTTATTAGAGCCTATGGTAGGTTATATTGACGGGGGCGGAGCGAAGCGATTCATGTTTGTCAGATTTGTGATATGGAGACCACCTTGCTGGATATGCTTTATGAATTTTCAACTGGCAGGAGTCATCTAGCAGTAGCGACTGACGATCCGGAGAGGGTGAGTGGATGTTGCGCATGCGTGCAAGGGAATAATCGTACCATATTTCCTACACTTCATGGCATATGTTAGGTCATCGAGGCCATTCATGGGGAGAAGCAGATTCCATGCAACATTCACATGGCAGGGATCATCACGCTTGAAGACGTCATTGAAAGGTTGATAAAACACGATATTCAAGGTAGAACGTTTTTGGGTGGGCGAAAAAATCCGAACGCCAGAACGTTTTTCGGCTGGTGAAAAAATCCGGACACGGGAAATTTTTCATTCTTTTCAAGGCCAGAGTATGAGAACGATTAAGTGGGGATTTTTGGGCCGTCAGGAATATATGAATATGCGTTTTTACTCTGTCAGATGAAAGCGATATATCGGTAACGCTGCAACCCGTATTGCATCTTCCTTCCTCAACTGGAGGAAAGATCAAAATGTAGTATTCTATCTCTGCCTCATTCGAGCACAGTTCGCGTGAAATGTGGTCTGTATGAATTATTCGAAGCTCTAGATAACAATAGGGAGAAATTCCCCATTGTGCGTGGTCGGACTGTATTACCTTCCTTATGGTTGGTTGTTATTAAACTATTCATCATCATCGTTAGTGTGTCTTCACTCTGCCTATAGCCTGCCATATAGTATATACCGATATAGCAATATGTCATACAGTGTGGAAGTGGATGATTTGTCTTAGTCCCGCCTCCCCACATGGACGTAGCATTAAGATTAGCGCACCAACGGGTGTGTTGTCGATCAAGCATCAGCCGCCTAATAGCGTCGGGAGTAAGCTTGAATACATGGGACAATAGAGAGAGTTGTGGTATTAGGGTCAGCTTCGGTAAAGTCTAGTCATGCACCGACATCACAAGCAGGCAGGGAATCACCATCGCTCAGGGTGAGTAGTTGGTTAGGATTCACGTCCGTCACGCGGAAGGTCCTTGGTTCGATCCTTGGTTGGGTCTTTTTTTTCAGACGCCTTTGCTGAAGGATACGTCTTCTACGACGGGAGTAATGCCGGTGATCACTGAGACGTCTCCGATGTCTGCTCACTCTACGACTTCATCGAAAAGTGAGTTGGATCTGGCAATAAGCAATCTCACCCATCTTGCATTCCCTCCAAGGTAAGAAAGACAACCCTGCATCAGCTGGTTCAACAGTACCGTCAAAGTCGCATACTCCCTCTTCTGAACAGGAGCTGACAGGGAAGAAAGATGCCAATAATACCACGGGTGAGCGAAGCTTCTCTCGTTAATAGTGTGGCGAGCATGTTGGGCAGTGTTGGAATATATGTTTGCTTTCCTCAGCTGAGCTTAGGTTTTGTTTCCTCACTAGTATAGGAATTCGGGTAGAAGTGTACAGAAAACAATGAGAAACGCCAAAACTTCCTCAAGATTTTCATACTATCACCAACACATGTAACTGACCATGTGTATATCATTGACATTATAGGATTAGCCGAATAGCGTTTAGGAATCTATTTGTGAGTTATTTTCGTGTTGGTAGACTGTGAAAGCGGAGGGGAGACGGGGAGGAGCCCTCTGCGAAAGCGTGGAAAATCACTGAGTGAGAGTTGTGATTAAATTTTTGAGAAAAGTGGCGAATTTTTTGTGTAGGTGAAAACGACTTGGCGAAAAAAGGGGAATGTAAAATGTCAAACGAAAGATGGGATTGACTGTAGAGTTACTTAATATATCGTTTGTCGCCTCTCCCGAATACACTGGGCGAGTTTTTAATCTTTTTTCGGGGTTGAGTTTATTCCAGTCACCTACTGGGATGCTCATTATTCGGAGGAGGGAGTCTTGTGTTGAATAAGTTTATTGAAGAGGATAGAATAAAGCATCGTAACTTAAGGATTCGACCAGTCGGTGGAGTCCGTCGACATTGAGTGGTTTCTCAATCTTATGTTCGGCTCGAACTTCAGCCTTCTCCCGAACAGTTCGGGAGAAGGCTAAAGTGCTAATCGATTTTACTCTTGGAAAGAACTCGAGCAATAATAATAACTTCGATGACCTCAACAAACGACATTCCGTAGGGGTCTATGCGATGGAGTGATCTTTTATTCGGTTATTTGAAACCTTTCGCGCAAGCAAGATGAGTTGATGCACGCCGACGCAGTAGTACTACTGTACGTTAGTACGGGTTACTCCATTCATACCATTCCTATATTGCAGTAATACGGAATAATATAGCATAGCATTCCTAAAGTGCAAATTGAAGAAAGTCCGTTCCTGGATTGATTGATACACCATTAGATAGGCGAGTTCATTGATGACTTTAGCTGCCGGAAAATCGTTCGGATTGCAGAGAGAAATTTATGTGAGAATTAACGTGCGGCCGGGACAAAAAAATCAAAAACCATATTTTCTAGTAGAAAGTTGTTCCAAGAAATTTATACCATTCGAAAGCTTTACAAATTCCTTATCTGATGAGCTCCTTCCTCTCCCTATGGTTTAGATCAGCTCTGGACAACTTTTTCGACTGTATATTTGTGTGATACCAGAACAGTTTGCCGTCACTGAGACACTCTTTCGAGTGAATATTTCGTGTAGAAACTTCTACGGCATTAGCCCAGTCACTCACTACCACTAACAACAAACAACTGTATTTGGTGAAACCAAGCAAAGTAAAAGGAGACGCTATCTACACTATCAACCCAGCGGCAACAGTCTCGCCTCTGTCACGCAAGACGATTCTTGACAAACTCGTAGCTTTGGCGCGTGAACCTTTGTGACCTGAGCTCAGATCACTGATGAAGATATTGTGTACACCGTACTGTCTTACCTATAGGATCCGTGCAAAGCGGATGCTGTACGGTAAGTTCGACGGTACAACCATCGCCTTTAGTCAAACAATTCACCATTAATCAATGGTGTGGGGAAAAATATGCACATGGCGCTCTACATGTGTTGGTGATGACAATATGAAAATTCTGGGAGGAAGTTATTGGTAATCCTTATTGGTTCTTATAGAGTTGACAATGTTCACTTCCACCCGGACCCATGAACTTATATGTAGTTGAGAAAACTCCCAAGCTCAGCCGAGCACTGCCACTAACGGTCGTACTGTTATGATAACTACCGTATCATTGGAGTTTCTTGGCTCTAGTGATATGAAAAAAACACTAGTGAAGAATATATTTCACGACTACTGCATATCACCGCGAATATCGCGCCTTTTTCACCGAGTTTTACGCCACTTCACGTAAAACGGGTTATAAAACTCCATCAATCCGGCTTTTTAGAAAATTAGCAACGAATTCGTTTTGTCACAGCATAGACTAAATACTAGACCCTGATTCTTGTAGTAATGCTACAAACATGAACTTTATACCTTACTCAAACAGAATAGCATACACACCATAAATAAACAAATATTCTAGTAATAACTTAACTACAGTAAAATCATATAAATATGTTCAACGACAACACTATCATACTTGAGCAACGATATCACACTATTTAATCGTAAGGATATGATGCGCAGCTTACGTACTCCTTATAAGAAGTTGTTACTACACTAATACAAACTATACTACAGTAGAGTACAATGTACTCTACTGCACTGGCACGCACGCGCATTTCCGTGCGTGACTTTGGATCCCCGGTAGCGACAGGGAACCCTGTTGGTGGCACATATTCTGCCTGTATTCGAAAAATTCGCAAAATAGGAAGTCACTCACCTCGGATATGGGTACGCTATAGGGGCTACGCTGAGCAGTCCAAAATTTTCAGAAACATACGCTGTTGCGTACCCTCGCGTACCCCATTGTCCGCCACTGCGGTAGAAGTGTCCAAAAACCAAGGAGAACTTACTGAAATTTTTTTCAGAATTTTCATTTTGTCACAAACACATGTAGTTGACCATGTGCATATTTTTCCACACACTGGACAAGAGCGCCTCAACGATGGGAGGGATATTCATCCACAGCAAAAGTACCAGTGTTGGAGTAGGAATATATATTCGCCTTCCTCAGCTGAGCTCAGGAGTTTCCTATACAGTGTTGGAGTAGGAATATATGTTAGCTTTCCTCAGCTGAGCTCAGGAGTTTCCTATACAGTGTTGGAGTAGGAATATATGTTAGCTTTTCTCAGCTGAGCTCAGGAGTTTCCTATACAGTGTTGGAGTAGGAATATATGTTAGCTTTCCTCAGCTGAGCTCAGGAGTTTCCTATACAGTGTTGGAGTAGGAATATATGTTAGCTTTCCTCAGCTGAGCTCAGGAGTTTCCTATACAGTGTTGGAGTAGGAATATATGTTAGCTTTCCTCACCTGAGCTCAGGAGTTTCCTATACAGTGTTGGAGTAGGAATATATGTTAGCTTTCCTCAGCTGAGCTCAGGAGTTTCCTATACAGTGTTGGAGTAGGAATATATGTTAGCTTTCCTCAGCTGAGCTCAGGAGTTTCCTATACAGTGTTGGAGTAGGAATATATGTTAGCTTTCCTCAGCTGAGCTCAGAAGTTTCTAAAGGCAATTATGAAATTCGGGTAGAAATGTACAGAAATCAATGATAATTCCCCCAAATTTCTTCAAAATTTTTATATTATCACCAACACATGTAGTTGACCATGTGTATATTTCCCCCCACACAATAGTACCAGTTTTCATCCCAGTAGTCGTTTGCGTAATAATCATCATAGTAGCCGTGCTGCTCCTCATCGTAGTCAATGTTCTTCACCCTTCGATGAGCCATTGCGCAAGGAGTGGTATTAAATTAGTGAAAAAATATTAATAATCGCTTTCAAATGAAGACGTGATATGTATCCAGCTCGTTAGATGGGACAGACTTTACATTCTTCACGGAATGTGCCCAACAGAGGCACCCGGAGAGAACACACATCTTATCGATAATGTGGTTTAGTGGTATGATTCACATTTCGGCCACCCAAGGTCGTAGGTTCGATCTTAGGTTAGTCTACAACTACATTGAGGGACGTAAGTATTCCACGCCGTGTTCAATAGACCTCTTCTGAGCTACCAGGCTGTTTTCATTTCGCATCTAAAACCCCACCCAAGTGCCCCTTTCGCCGAGTCCCAGTACTCTGAAAAGCAACCTTGCCGAACTCGGAAGACAATAATATGTTCATTTCCGAACTGAACATTCCTCGAGACTCCATGTGGTTGGGGAAGCATTTTCTTTTGTAGAGGTATGACGAATCAAACACCAGCTATAATGTCCCGCTTGCGTAGCGAACAAGTTATGAAAATATGGATAAACTTTTCACGTCGAGGCCCAGATCGCATTTGAATTTGTTGAACCAAGTCTCAACTACTTCGCATATTCATTTCAATGATCATCTTCCCAAAACACTGAATGTAAATTCAACACCATAGTGTTATGAAACGTTCGTAATATTGCGTGTGTTGCATAACTAGTGCTTACAAAACCAGTATAGAATCACTACTACGTAGCAACAACGACAATACAGAACTGTCAATCTGAACTAAGTCCAGTATAGACTTTCAAGTTCGGACTTCATTCGTCTGTATATTGGAGTTTCACGACCCGTTTTACGCGAAGTGGCGTATTACTCGGAGAAAAACGCGATATTCGCGGTGATATGCAGTAGTCGTGAAATATGTTTTTCACTAGTGTTTTTCATATCACTAGGGTGGTGAAACTCCATTAAATGAATACAATCGTCCATTTCGCTTAATGTCAAGCTCCTGTCGAGCAAGTACCAGTGAGACAGAGCAAGCATGCAGTGTTGTTTCCGAACACCATAAGAGACGACAAAGCTACTGCTAAGTACGAACTAGATGTAGACAGAAGTCGAGACACCGCACGTGCTCGCTTTGATGCTATCAATAAGATGCCTATAACCGCACCAGGAGTGTTACTAGCCAAGACTATGACCAGGACGGACGCAGCGCAAGCCACGTTAATATTCGCGATGATGTAATGTGGTGCGGCAACGATAACAGCAACAATGAGTATCTTGAGAACGTCGACTCCACCCTTGTGAGCTCGGTCACTGTTTTCATCAACCAGAAGTGATGCGCTGGGAGACAGTCTTGAGTAGAAATAGTCTTCAACCCAATACTGCAGTTTTTCATCACGACCATCGAAAAAATACGCATCAGCATTATCATAATCGATAAGTTGCGTTTCGTGGCTTCCATCATTCCTGTCCACTACAAGTAGTTGTCTTCGACAAAGCGGAACGTCTTCTTGCAAGTCCAACGGGTTACAATACCCGCTAGCGTTGCGAATCAGCCGCACTTCGCGCCGGGAATGGTGACACCCTGAGTGGTGATACGCTCGCATGTCACCAAGATAACCATAGGAAAGAGCTCCCAGTGAAACAGTATTTGTGGTAGTAGTAGTGGTCAACAACAAAGGTAGAGATCTGTCACTTGCCGTCTCAACGAGCCACTCAGGCACATAGTCATGCTGAATCAACGGTAAGTCAATTTCGGTTATCCATTCTGGTAGCAAATGAAATGGCGTGTAAGCCGTGACTAGCACTGAAGCATGGCAGCTCTCACCGATAAAAACAGTAATACGACCACGCCTGGGGTCGACCTCAGACGCTTGAATGAACCGGACTCGGGCGAAATCGGCATCCCCATCGACAGAAGCCGCGACTCGTTTAAAGTCAGCGACGATCTCCTCGCTATCAACACCATCTTGGGCAGCAACTGTGGCAGATTTGAACACTCTGTTGAGCTCGCAATGAGTCGTGTAGTTCAACGGGTTATTGCTGTGCAGCACAACTGTGATTCGAGGAAGCCCAGAAGTCTTTTCTGAGCTCCATTTCACAACTTCTAGTAGGAGCTGCTCTGATGAGAATACTAGTAGATTATCCGACGCGGTCGAACCTAAGCCGCAGAGCAATGTGAGTATTGCAACATGCCATATAAGAGAATGGAAAATAATAGACATATCGAACTGAATGGTGTTGAGATCACTGCATATGTAACCAGGGGATTCTCGCAATCACCTTACTCGTATTCTTCTACGACTAGTCAGTATCAATTTGACATGCAAATGTAGGAAATGTGTGTCATTTTCCGAGATTGTTGAAAGCCGATCTGAAACTACATCGCAGAAGCAATATGAGCGTATGAAGTGATATGAATAACCTTTAAATCATTCAATTATCATTGCTGCCTTCGAGTTGTGTTTGCGTGCAAATCCGTACGCGTACGTTCAAACACGCCATCATCTTATTCTTCCACCTTGAAGTGTGACTGATTGCGTAATGGTTAGTGTCCAGGCATAGCATTCGATAGGTATCAGGTGCGATACTTTCTCGTAACACTTTTATCGTTGAATCTAGCCTATATATCCCTACATAGCTCAATTCTGCGTAGTTTTACAAGTTACAAACAACTACGGGGTGACCAGGGTTACTGCTAGGAGCTGTAAACTATACGTCTGTGAAGATACGGTGCCCTCTTCCGTACGCCTGATCGAGTAACCTATTACCGCAAGAATACAATTGCAGTCTAGAACTATAGGCGCTCTCGTTGTTTCAAGTCTCCAACACATACTTCTAAGGCGTAAGATTTTACGTCTGACAACAAGTCTGGGGGATGCATGCAAGAGTATGCCTATTGATTTCCCGTGAAACGTGGGGCTCCCAAGTGGAATAAGATAGCAAAAAAACGAAATTGTGCTGAGAAATTACGAAGGGCGAACCTTATTTTCCATCACCCTGTAAAAACCTACTACGCGATTTCATGAATTTTTTCCGTGAAGTGATCAATTTACCACCATCGGATTGTGAAGGATGAAATCTCTTTTGGATTTGAAGTGGGGGCAGTTGCTTTTCAATTCAGGTCGCGACTACGGCGGTGTAGTTATAGACTAGTGTCTTCTCGGTATTAGTGGCGACTTCAAGGAATATAGTTCGCGCAATCTAGTGCAGAAATTATTCTCCTCCAGTCGGTGGCCTATTTAAACAATATAATATTGTTCGATTCAAACACCAAATTTGTATAGGAATTCTTCAAACAGTTTGAAGAATTCCTATACAAATTTTCAGGTTGAGATGAGCAGTAGTTAAGAAGTTGGGCCTACCACAGGAAATTGAGTCTTTAGATTGCGCGTATAATACGCGGCGTATTGTACCTTAGAATAGTGGAGAGTTCAGCGTGAGGCTGCGCACCGGCCTTCCAAGAGATGACTGTGGAAATGGAATAGTTTCATGATTTCATGATTTACATGAAAACATATCCAAGATCGAATTTCAATCATTCATATATTCATTCAACATTTCCGCATATATTTCAATCATTGAAATATAAGCTTCGTCTTATCAGTTCAGCTCAGTAGTTTCCCTCTCACTCAGCGGGAAGATAACCTATATGGTTATAGTTACACTTTATTAAATGAGGCTATGGTATCTGATCTTGTTGGTCTCCCTCTTCGAGGAGTTCACTGCGATGCTGCGTGATGACGACTGTTGTCATGGCAAGAAACTGCCGTGCCCTTGCTGCCATTATGACACATGTTGCATTGATGATATATGCACTTGCAGCAAAGTGTGTGGTCGTGACTGAGGAAAGTTGTATACAATATGATGTCTAATTTCATGACCGTAATTTTTTCCATTCGATCATGCCCTGGACGAGGCCGAATCATTTAGTCAACCGTTTCAAGTTGAGTACGAGAAGCGTTGACCACAGTCAATTGAAACGGTCCTTAATTACGAGCAATACATGATACAACAATCACGTTCTTCTGCTCTAATGCTGCGGCCATCGACTTCGTCTCTTTATTCCTTTACTCCTCTTAGCCTTCATCCCTCAGCGAGTGTTTAGAACGGCTCGATCCCGCCTTAAGTTGACCACAGTCAAGCGCGGAGAGTGTCGGTTTTTTCATGTTTTCTCTCGGTTACGATAAGTCTACCAATTTCGTGGCGAGTGACGATTGATACGTACAGATTTTAGTACGTAAGGTGACAGCCGTCTGGGGTACAAGCACACAGCGCTAATGCAAGTTTGGGAAATGTCAGTCTTGAGACGGAGAATGTTTGGAAGGATTCTGGGTTTGCTGCGAGCTCCAATGCATGCACATTCCTTTTCTAAGAACAATTGATGGTCAAAGCTTCAACCATAAAAGGCAAACTAAGGTCAAAGGCAAATTAAGGTCATCACACGTTGTTTAAAGGACCACGTACAGCAGAGGAATTTCCTCTGCTGTATGTCATTCACAATCACTTCCTCTAAGGAAGTGATTGTGAGTGACGGTGTGGGAAAGTATGCATATGGCTAAGTTGACCATGTCAACTACATGTGTTGGTGATAACTGTGAAAATTCCGAGGAAATCTCATTGGTAGCGTTGCACTTACACCTGGATTCATATACGAACTCGACCAGTCCTATTCTTCTGTATGAAATCTTTTGTGTTCATCTGTCCCCTACTGTGCTATGTTTTACAACATTTCCGGGTCAAATCGATATTTTTGCAAAATTTTTATAATTCACCCACTTCTTTTGAAAAATGCCTTTTCTCAGCTTTTAACCGATTGGTTTTAATAAACTACCCAAAATTCTATTGAAATAGCTGATCTTTTTAAAAACTTAACGACTTTAATAAACGACGTTAGTTTTAAGGACAGAAGTGATCGCAGCGTGACAATCACGCCGTGACTACCTCCTGGAGTACTACTCCATACACAACATCACGCGTGCTACGCATGCACACACTCATAATGAGTGACTCATTAACAGGACATTAGCACGAAAGATACGTTTTGATCATTTGAATGGTTTCACTAGAGTTTTAGTGAAACCCCGCATTAACATAACATCTGAACTCAGTATTCGACCATAATGCAGCTGTCATACTGGAGCACAGAATCAACACACAGCCGACGATGGTTCAAGAGGGGAGGAATAGCCTCCAGATGATTGGAACAAAGGATACGTCCGGAAAGACCGTATTCAGAGTGTAGCGTCTTGGGGCTCAAGTATGGTCCTTCCCAGTGACAACTCAGGATCATTTGAGGGTTCGGAGTCATTCATTAGGTAATGAGGGTGATAATATCTGATACCGATATCATATGAATCAATAAGTTCGACCAAAAAGAATAATGGGCAATTCGTGAGGCTTCCAAAGCACAAGCAATGAGCAATGGGGCACACACACATAGCCTGACCGATTGTGTTCGGGTGATGACGACTCACGCAGTCGCACGCACGTGAGAGCAACTTCAGCACAGAGAGCTTCCCAAGAGCGGAACGCTGTAAGAGATATCAACGGGGGCCTTTACAGGAACAGTCGCAATTCCAGTATGTGACTGTGCATAGGCACGCGGGTGGACAGGACTTCTCGCAAAAATCCGGTGAACACGCCCCCGAGAAACCGCGCGAGATGTCAACCGGAGCACCTTGGCATAGTGCTGCGATAATGAGTAGCATATAGCCGTTGCGCATTGATAGTGAGGGAAAATACACTGTTCACAACATTAACAAAACACACGTGTGCGCCAGGAGACGCGTGACGCGACTGCCACTAGTAGTCAATCACAATCTTGTCTCGTTGTCGCGGTATCAGTTGATGAACTCAAAGAACAACACAACAAGGGAGCTCGAGCTAGAGCAGCTAATACTACGACCCTAGGACAATAACAATAAGCGCACTACCTGCACTTGAGTTCTGTACGGACGTCACGCTATGCTCAGCACATGGAAGGCGAAGGTTTGATAACCCTTGCCGCATACCCGGTGTGCCAGTGACAGAGTGCCACTTGTCTACTGGTCACTTGTCTCTTGTGCTTAGTAGGCATCATTGACCAGCTCCGAACGACGAATCTCAAGGTTGGATCAAATCGAGATCAGGCGATATTGATCAGAGTCGAATGGCCATAACACAAGTCGGGGGGAGTTGTGAAGATCCCTGTCTTAACCTATTCGGTGGGATAGGTTATAAGCTATGCACATACGTGCAATAGCGTACGACGGGTAGAAGCAGTAAGAGTTTCCCTATAACAAGGGTGACCTGTAATGGCGAGTGTTACTGATCAAGTCTTGACTGAAACACTTGGGAGGATGCTCAGGAAAAACGTAGCTTCTCCGCGGTTGAAACCGTGCCAGAGAGTTGTCTTCCGGCGAAGCCTGGTTTGGGACAGCGATTGACGCAATCGCTGCCGGCACAAGGGACAACCGGAGTCCTTCAAGCTGGAAGAGGCACTGCATGATGCAGAGTGGACGGGACACCCAACCAACCCTCTGCCGGCCATGACTTCGTTCCGGAAGCTGAAGTCGCGCATGTGCGCTGGCGACGTGCTCCTCTCGCTCGGCTAACCCGATTTTAACATCCATCATTCTACGGAGACGCAGGCGATGGTCTTCCGAGAAGTAACGGACTACGTTTGTGACCGTCTATGAAAGTTGTCACGATGCCGCCCTGCGTAGGCGCCTTGGGCACTACTTGTCTGAGTCATTCTCCAACCAGGTCGTGATGAATGTCCCTCACGAGTATCTGTCCGACTCGGACAGAGCGACCCCGGCTGCCGGGGCCCGGCACGGTGGAGATTCTCCACTGGAGAATAACAAGTATCGAATCGTGTCGAGAAATTTCGTAAATACTCCGTATCGTGTTGGGTTATATTTCCACCTTTCGGAATATATCGTATCGTGCAGAGGTCGGAAAAAGCTGCTTCGATATATCTCGATCTCGTCTCGATGTATGTTCCGCCGCGGAGCTTCCGCGTCACTAATTCTCGACCGTAGGATCTCGGAGGATTTTCCCATCATCTCGATCTCATTCTCGATTCTCGAACCGGGCGAGCGCGCCGAACTCGAAGCGGAATATTGCACGCGCTGAGAATCGAACCTGCGTTGTGCGACTGGCAAAGAGCCCTAACTTGGTTGGCCATGCACGGCCAAGGCAGGCTAAATGAGTAATGTTATTGGGGTGTAAAATCGGGCCGGAGGCCCGCGATATACTCTAAAAATAGCAAGTTACATAGACAAGTACATAGTCTAAAAATAACAAGTACATATTAGCCTTTTTTTGGGCTACATACGTTGGGCCCGAAAGTTACATACGTTCGGCCCGGTGGGCAAATTCCCAAAACATATGAAAGTGTTTTCACTATCCGGGTTGAGTTTGCTCGTAATTCGTCTCTCCTTCTGATCTCAATCTGTTAAATGACTTCGACGAGCGGCTCTCCACGAATCGAGTCGTCGTCAAGCTCCATTGAAGACCCTGCTGTGGTGACTGATCATGCTAGGGATGGTCCTAAGAGCCCGGTTGCAAAAAAGAGAAGGTTCTCATTCGCTGACTGGAAGCAAGACAGGCCCCAAGGGGGTAAAAAATTATATGCAGCAAGGTTCGCGCCTGTGTTGGAGGACAGAAAGAATACCCGATCCGACATCTGGAAAACGCCTGGAACCGATTTCGGAAGGATCTGCCGCATTGGCGAGCACAAACGCCTTCCTGACTTCGCAGTTCGATCTCCATTGTTGAGAAAACCTCTCGATCTCGTCTCGATTCGAGATCGAGACGAGATCGAGATTCTCGGGTCTCGATTCCGACCTCTGGATGGACTGTTTTAAACAGTAGTACTGTTTAAAACAGTTCATATCGTACTCTTACAGTACGTTGGCGACGGCATCTTTTGGCTCAGCAGCATCGATGACGGACAGCAGGTAGAACCTTTCGTGCAATTCCTGCGTCGGCTTATCATACCCTTAAACACATGCGGTCATTTGGTACGAGGGCTAGCAAGTCGGCTGGTGCCAACCATGCAAAGGAGTGGGTTGGCAACAGTCGAAGCCGAAACTGCTGCGGTGTGGGCCACACCGTGTGGCAAGGGGTCGCCGAGGTGTTCCGCCGAGGCTGTACTAACGAGTTCGTCAGAGTCGCGTACGAAGCCTAGTCGAAGAACATGGCATTACTGTCTGCATCGCATGACCTAGGGGTATGCCGCCTGGTAAGAGGTATGAGAGGTATCTCACGTAGTTGCGGTTGGGGAAAATCGATTCGAAATTTGAATGGCGTGCGGCTTTGCGAGCGCTAAGGAAACATCACGTCACGTCGCGTGATGTATGTCGCCGTGCTGCGGATTTAGCTGGAGATTGAGAAGGTGTATAACTAACTGCGACTTATGTCACACGATTCGTGTGCGGGGTCGACCGTGAGGGTGTACCGTATCGATTAGTAGCTGTTGAGTTACTCAACTTGAGTAGCATATGCCAGTGGGATGATGCTACTGCAACTTATGCTACCATGATTCCGATCCGGGGGTGTTGTTCGTTGTTCAGTTTATCGTTGGGAACTCCTAGTAGCATTCGTGTTAGCAGCTCTTACTGTTGCAGATGGTGCGAAGGTTGTGAACAACATGAAACGGATATCTATTGATGATATCGTCGATGATGAGGACGAGGTCGAAGCGGTGCAACGTATGGGAACCGAAAACTGTGTGGTCATTGCGATGTAAGCAGACCGGCTTCGCCGATGCGTACCATATCCACGTACATTGCTGTATGCTATGGTGGACCATTCCCGTAGCACTACGTGTGTAGGTTGTTGTCTGTGAAGAAGAGCAAATTGGTGAGCATCCAAGAATTCATGGGGAGTGCAAACAGTGCTGGAGGCACACGCAGGGGTCGGACTGAAAAAACCTATGAACGATGTCTCCTTTTCGGGTAGTGCTCTGAGCCGTGTCAGGCTTTGTCGTATTTCTGCTCTGAGAATACGATACTTTTCAGTGATATCGGTTCAGCTCGATGTTTTATGATACTGGCACAGAAATACCAGACACGGCATTTGCTTCCGCTACACAGTAAAGTAATGACTCACCAAAGTAACGTCTATTGAATCTGTGCCATTCTTTTCAGGTCCGAGTTGGAGATTTTGCCGCTGTCTGCGAACCTCGTTTCCCTGATAGAGAGTTTCTCTGTGGAACAGCAACCCCAGTTTTCGTTACGGACACGAGGCTCATGCGAGTACGAGCTTCTCCGTTACCGGTGGCCATCAGAGAAGTACGACACGTTTGCTATACCTGACTTGCAGTTCGCGTGGGTTATAGGTACCCGATAACTCAAGTTTTGCTCACTTTTGTGTGAGTGGAAAGATCGAATTATCGAACGTTTCATGGCCATTATGTTGCGGTATTACACGAAATCAAGAAGATGGAGGCTCAAACGGGTGAAGAGTGAGGAATGTTCTGTCTTGATTAATCCGGAGCGTTTAGAAACTTCCCCGTTCGCCCCGACGAGTCTCGTTTCCTTTCTATCATTTGCGAGCGCCCTGACGGGAAACCGCTAGCAGTGTCCCACCGTCGATATCCATTTGGTCTGCGATCGACTCCCTTTTGGTGGAGCCCATATGGAGGAAGCCGTTTGAGAATTTATCGCTGACTGACCAGGGATTACTGCTCAGCTCAGATCATTCATGTGGATGATCTGACCATATTTGCTCCTCGCCGATTGTTGAGTTTGCTGGACGGGATTCACTCCCTCTTGGCACTGCTGAGTTGGCAGTAACGCTCGGATTTCCCTTGAGTTCCCCGAAGATGCTGATAAGGAATTTTGTTGATCTATGCGAGCTGTCGAGCTAGTTTGGACTACTATTCAGAAATTCTGAATCAGAATTCTTATTCTCAGTTATTACTAAGTACAGTCATGAGTCCTCATCCATCAGCGTCTGTAGGTGTCCCGGATCTGAAAGCCTCTATCATACTAAAAGATATAGAAGGAGTGTTGGACTCAGGAATCTGCACACTAAGAACCGCTCGGAAATGCAAGAAGGCTATACCGCGATGCTATAGCTCTGCTCCGAGGATCTCGCTCCTACTACGGCAGTTTGCTCGATTTCTATCCGATTTGTCAGTGCCAGGCTGGCACTGCCAGCATCTTATCGCGTAGAACATGTTTCAGGAGAGTGCAATACGGCTGCTGACATTTTGAGTCGTAACTTTCATTCGGAATCCGAGTTTCGGATGAGATTCCACTATCCTGGAAGAGTCAAGATATCTGCAAGTATTTGGAGATACTCGACCCATCATCATAGTCACTCCCTCTCTCGCGCAACTATGTTGAGTAAGCGTCTGGTCATCAGACATCTTTGTGTTGCCATCCCCATTACCCTCGCTTCACATAGTTTTAAACTACTACAGCATCTCCAGATCAAATAAATTTTTTACCGACAAATTTAATTTTTCACCCATTTGGTTAATGTTTTACCTTTCGAGTTCACATCGTCATCGTCATATTATTAAATCATAATACATTTATTCAGAGCTCAAATTTATTATATAAATGGCCGATCATATTAACGGCAGCAGAAACAGCGCTGGAACTCTGGTTGTATTGGACTTACCTTGCGAGTCCTATATTAAAGCTGATGATCAACGAGGAATGCCTCCATCTTCATCTTTACAGCCACTATCGCCTCTTCGTGCTTCTTCCACATCAACTACCACCACTGGAGTAGATGAGGAACCTCCACTATTTGCAAGAACAACAACAAAGCCGAGTCCCGCTTACGACAACCTCAACCAAACGCTCCAGTACTTGACTAGTGTTCTAACCTCGGATACTCCGAATAACAACAACAACAGTCAACAGCGAGGGTTGACCAATATGATGGGAGGATTTTCCAACGACCTGTCAGTGTCACCATTCGTGCGACAGGCCAATGATCATGATGAAGCGTTCCCAGTGTTGACTGGGCCTAGTGAACCCCATCCTACTTGGGTTTCCCCTTTTTTCAGTACTAACGGTCTACCACCAACGCAACCTACGGTCGTAACGCCATCGGCTGCTTCTAGTGATGTTAATAGAGTTACTGTGCCTGATCAAGCGGGGTGCTTAGGAGGTTTATTGGAGGATTTAGCGAGACTTAATAGTTCGCCAGTGGTTGAAACGTTCACAAAATGGTGACGATGAATTCCACTCGTAAGAAGGAGTATTTGGCTCCTCC